GTCCTGCAGGTCTGGCTTTAGAGAGATGTCCTCTGAGGCTCATAGCACAGGCTACACCGAGAGCTCTTTATACCCCAGGGATCTGCGCTTCCCCAAGCACAGGCACATGCACGCACAGACACACAGTGCTGTGTGAGACATGCTCTGTGCTTTCTCATGACAACTTTTCAGAGAGACCACAGCAGACTATCCCTGTCCCACTACTTAAGAATAGTTACTGAAACTTGAGCTGAAGGAACGTTCTCAAGGTGTTTTAGTCAATCCTTCAGCTGTATCAATTTTACCTAAACTTTCTCTGTCCTGTTCAGAGAAACATCCAAACCCATCTCCTTCCACTTGCAGAAACCTCAAGTCATTGGTAGGCAAATAATTGATCTTGTAAAAGTTGATGTACATCTGAATGGCAGTTCCTCTTAGCTCAGAAACGTTTTCCTAAATTGCTCTCCTGAAGTCTATCTTGTTAATATAAAGTCCAAGGCATGATCAATCATTTCCATCCCATCACATTGACCATTTGAGAATGGTTACTGAAATTTGAGTTGAAAGAGCCTTTGGAAATGATCTAACTGTATGCAAACATTTCAGATTTTCTCTTTTTTTTTTTTTTTTTTAAGGAAGGCAGATTCATATGAATTGTACAAAAAGCAGTCAACTTTTCTTGAATACCGCATAAGTAGGTATTTCAGACACCACAAGGATAAAGGTACTTTTAGAGGGCTATTATTTCTGCAGCTGTTTTACCAAAAAACCCCAAATTTGACGTTAACATGTGAGGAAGGAAAATGCAAGGGTGACGGAGATTACCAGGTTCTCAAGACAGGCAGTAGAGTGGCAAACTCTGTTGAGCTGCTGGCCAAAGTATCTAGTACAGAAAAAGAATAATTTTCACATTCATTTTCACAGTTGAGGAAATAAGTATGCCATGTGATATTATGTGGATCAAGTAAGCACTCCTGATACTTCAAACCGATGAGATGACATACAGTGCTCCACTGCTCACTCTTTAATAATAAATCCGTGTCTGAAGACTGTCTGAAAAGCGACAAGGATTTCCAAGGGCTGAAGGTCTCTTGTTCTGACAATGCAAAACTGTGAGGCTGTAGCTGAGGGCAGAGCAATAAGAACACCATTTCTTGACCATATGTTTTAAAAAATAGGTTCTGTGCAACGTGTTAAGCAGACCCCGCATTATAATGACAAGAAATGCAGAAAGACTTTTATAAACATAATTGAATCAGCTGACAACTACCAAAGTGATCTTAAAATCCATATTGCAATTATGACTGGAAGTTTAAAGCAATGATGGCACCTTTTTTGTAAAATGGAGCTCTCAGAAGAATGATTTCTCCTGCCTTTGGGTTTTAGATTGTCTGTGCATTATAAATCACTCCTCCACAACACTGTGCACATAGGATAAGCCCTTTAGTAAATCTCCCCCGTAACTGTTGCAAGTCACCACTGGAAAAAATGTTGCATTTGAAGGTGGTTTGGTGTCCTGAGTTATGTTATTCTAAACTTGGCTATGTGGGGAAGAACGTGCATCAACATCAATTTGTTCCTTGAAGAATCCATTTTAAAATGTTTGTACAAAGGTTTGTAATCAGCTCCCTCTATTTCAAGAAAATACCCACCGAATCTGAAAGGCCAGAGGACCTTCAGGACTTACCTTCCACAAACCTCGTTCAGCCAAGACCATTGTGCATTACAGATCCCCCAAATGTTAAGTTTTTTAAGGACAGTCTCTTTACCAGGGAATAAAATCTCTCCCCTGTGACAATAAATGATCAAATATGAGTTTGTTTGTCTGTCCTGGTGCGTCTGGTTTTATAGGAGCAGAGATAGGTTCTTCAGGTGAAAGAGTGATAGTTGACCTTTGGAGAAATACTTGATCGCCTGGCTGCTTTCTATCCTTCAGTGTAAGACTGCTTTTGTCATTTAAAGGGTTTCCTTTCTTCAAAGGCAGGCTAAAGGTGGCAGCTTGCCTTCTCTGGATGTAAACCTTAAATCTGAGTGTGCTGGTGGATGGATTTGTCTGAGATGCTGGTGAGACTTTATACCCAATGGTTAAAACCTGCTGCCTTCTTTCCACTCACAGACACAACGAAGTAGCTTTTGTTCAGATACAGCATGGTCACTCCACAGGAAAATACCTGAATATTTTCAAACACTTCACACCAGCATTTCCTGTGTTGGCCAAAGGTTGGGGAAATGGCTTCAAGACCAGTTAGTGACTGGTCGTAGCTATGATACTCCTGTTGCTGAAGTATCTTTTTTGTGTTTCTCTTGTCCCGGTCTGACACTTGCCTGCAAGTGCCTTTGATTAAGGACAGGAGTGACTTTGCCTGTTCTATTGATCAGAATAAATTACCAGCAGCTAATTTATGGACCTCACAAAAGTGCCTTTGACATGGTGAATTGTGCTCTGTTGTTCAGGTAATTGGGTTGTCAGGAAATGTTATTGGTTACTATACAGTTATCTCTTATAGAATATTGGTCTGTTTCATGGAAATGGACAAAATCTTTTAGATTTCCAGTTCCCAGTATGTCATGAAGACTCAAAAAAGGAAATAAGCATTCTTATTGATAGTAGTGATGGTAGAAAAAAAAATTCTGACTGCTATATGTTGATTTTTCATCCCTGATTTCTGCAAAAAAGAAAATTGCTTTTCTTGTATTTGCAAGTTCAGTGGGCTTGGTGGTTGCCAGCATTTACAGATTCAGCTTAAAATGTGGGACAAACATGCTGCTTTGGACACTATTCTTGCCAACAGTGAGACTCAAAATCTTATCATTGGCCTTTTGATGTCTGAGAAGGATAGAACAAAGCTCACCTTTTTTCTGGGTATGTTGCAAAGATGACAAAGATAAACTTGGTTCTGTCACACCGCTAGAGAACACACAAAACACACAGAAACAACAAATGGGGAGCAGGAAAGTGTTTTTACACGTGGTTGTTTTTACAGCCAGCTTCCACATTTGCAGGCCATGACATCTGCAAAAGTGAGAAAAATGCAAACAAAGGATCCCTGTGAGGCTGAAAAATAAAAGGAGCTCAAGAGCTCACTTGGGGTGTTTGCGTGAAGAGCTCCTACCTGAAAAAGTCTGGGCTGTTAGTTTTCCTCTAATGCTGTGAAATGGAATTTTTCTAACTGAAATTACAGGAGGCAGAGAAACGTTTTAGCTTAAGACAGAAACAGCAACCAAATAGTCCTTTCTGATTATACCTTCTCCTGGCTGTTTCTGCACGTGCTGTGTTTGAATACGTGTATGTTGGGCTTATAGTGGTACGGCATTTTGAACTCATTATTCATTGCCCCAAGTAAGAGACACATAGAAAGAAAGGGTTTGGTTTCTTTTTTAGTTACTGGATCTAGGTCACTGGGAAGGTTGATAGTAACAGTAGCTGCAGGAAAGTTTAGGTGATTAGATGGCTTTTGTGTTTAGTTTTGAACACAGTGAAAATTGGGGAAGTTCTTTTATATGTCTCACTGTTCGTGTCCTGCTGCTATTAGGTTCTTTCTGTATTTGTCTCCTTGTTGCCCCAAGGGAATGGCACCGACACAGGGATTCAGTAAGATGGTTCTTCAGGTACCAAAACCTGTATCTGTTCAAAGCTCTGAAGAGTAGAAGAGCAGACTGGGAATATTTGATGAGGAATCATTGTAGGGAGACACAATGTGGGATGCCATATACCCAGCAGAGCACTTTTGCGTAAGCCTGCTTCACAGCTTTCTTCCTCAAGAGTCAAGTCACCAGAGCCTCGACGTGGCCGTAGCCAGAGACAGGTCTGGCTGGCTTGGATCTGCTCCCTGGGTCAGCCACAAACAGCAGAGCGCATGTGTCCTCTTGGCACCTGCAGTGGTGGCAAGTGGTGGAAATGCCAAACCTTTTTGACTCCCGTGGGAACCATCTTTCAGCAACCCACATGACTGCTCTGCAAAGTCTGCATCAAACAGACCTGGTCAGGTCCTGGTGTGGTTGGAATGAGGGAGCTGCACTGGCAGGAGCACGATCACCTTTGGAAGCTGTCTGGCCAATGACCACATCAGTTTCTCTATACACAGGGCTAGTTTCCTTCCTTGGGAAGAACTTGGTGCTTACACAAGGAGTCTGCCCACCCAGCAGCTTTGTAGACCCAAGGGGAAAGGAATGGTTAAGGAATGGCTTTCCTCCACCCAATTCAGTCCAGGCCCAGTACTGATCGCTGAAGGAGGGCTGTGGGCAGCCCCCCTCTGCCAGTGCTTCTGTAGGAGCTCTGTGATTCTTAGAACTCCCCTGAGTTTTGGGTTATCAAGCGCCCCTTGTTGCAGTTGCATCAACTGCAGAATGGCTCATTTACCAGGCACAACAACGGGCTCCTGTTTGGGCAGGATTCCACTGGCAGCCTGTGCCTGACCTGGAGACCTTTGATATTTTGGCTGGCAGACTGGTTGTCTGTGCCCTGCTTGGTATTTCCCTGTAAAATACGCTATAGGTTGTCCTTTCTTTAGGAGACATTACCCTTCCTCCCACTCATCTTTGAGTCCAAGCATCACTGTGAATGCTCTTAGCTGGAAGGTCCACCCCTTTCTGCACTGAGCATGCAGACCTGCTACCCACTGCTTCCTTGCCAGACAGCACAGCGTTCCAGCTCAGAAGGTGTCTCTGCGGTCCTGCAGCTGGACACATCTGCATTTCCAGCTTTGCTTCCTGAAGGGGACGTTTTAAATGTACAGTACAGCTGCATACTGCCAGCATCAACACAAGCAGGAGAGGCCCAAGAGACTGGGCTGCCTTGGGCTGGTATTTCCAGTAGATCCTCATAGGGCTGGGCTGCTTTTTGTGGATATCTTTGCCTGCTGTAACCTAGGGATGACAAGACACATTGGAGAAGTTTGTGAATTGTTCTGATGGGAAGAGCACACTTGCCTATACCATGCTTACCTTCTGATCTTGTTGATATTTTGATCTACTTCTTGCCTTTGAAATTACATGGAGTTTTCTTTCTTCCTCTTTTTTAGAGAAAAAGGTGTAGAGAGACATGGAACTTGAAAGAATCATTCGAGACACACTGACATACTTCATCCAGTCCCACATCCCTGCTGCAGACCTCAGGTATGTTAGACAGGAAGATCCAATATAATTGTTTTAGCTTGAACTCTGTGCTAATTATCCCTCTGCACATTATACTGAACTTCAAGTGGAGCTTCAGAGCTTTCCAGTGCTTTGTGTTGCTTTTCCCTAAGTCAGATCCAGGATGCAGGTAATTTTCACAGGCTCTGATGTGAATGCTTGAATACCTATCGTTTAGCATTGCAATCTAGCAATGTCATTTCTTTGACAACCAAGATGATTAATTTCCTGTCCAGTAATACACATTAGAATATGGGATTCCCTTCATTCCACAGTGCTCCCAAAGGACTTTCTGAACAGCATAATGCTGTCAGGGCTCTCCCTATTTTGAACTCTGCCTGCATGCAGAGATACAGCCACCTTGAGGCTGGAACACAGCAACTCGTTTTGCAGCCAGTGGCAGCAGTGACACAAGTGTGGAGAGCAACTAGCAGAGAACACTGCATCCTATAGAAATTGCAGCTTGACATATGATGACCTCACCTGAAACATCAGTCAGGGTTTGAGCACTTGGAATATTTTGGTTGTCTCGGATGAAGCACCTACAGGAGCACAGCCTGTGGACACGTGGTGGGGCTTTCATTCAGTGCTGCCCAGGAAGGACGACAGCATGCAGTACTTTACCTGTAAATGCTTCCCATTCATCCACTGACCACCTGCTGCCTGGCTTTACTGGTGGGATCTGCCCATAAGATGCAGTCCATATAGGTCCTTCTGCTGCTCTATTAGAAAGACACAATGTTAGGTGGAATGGGGATGGAAAGAAAGAGAGAAAAAATGGGCCTGTTGACCCTGCTGCCATGTCCTGCGTTCTCTCTGTCTCCAGTGGGATGGATGATGTTTTCTTCTCTTACATCACGGGTGTCCTGGAAGAGCTGGGCTCACCAGAGTCCTCTGAGGAGACCTTTGACATGGACACCTTTGTGGAAATGATGGAGGCATATATTCCTGGTTTTGCAGAAATCCACAGGTATGTGAATGTTACTGCTTTGCATGTGCAAGCCATGCACTGGGGGCCTGGACCCAAGCCCCTAAGTACCATAAATTCTTCTGTTATACCCACTTGAAGAGGTTTTAGTACCAAACCAGTATAATTAAGTCAGGCTTTGCCTGACTAATCCCAGTATAGTTTGCAAGTAGGTCCTTGGCCATCTGAAATACCAGCTTATTTTATTGGGCTTCCCATCAAGCCTTGTCTTTCTATAAAGAGGTAGGCAAGTAGGATAGGCTACTGCTTTTATTCCTCACACTAATTATATGGCTTCTGTCTCTTGCAGTGGGGATATTTGTGAAATGATGTTCTCCCTCTCAGAAAGGCTTTGTGAAGCTCGCAACAAAGGTGAGTTACAGAGACAATTTCAGCACAAGAAAGTATATTCTGTTTTCAGTTTCGGCGTTTGGAGTTGAGCGATGTCATAGGATAAAATACCATCTTGTTTGTTACATTTAGGATCTCGTAGGGTAGCCTGATTTGGTTGACAATTTTTTTTTTTTTTCAATGTTCAGTTGGGTTTTTGATATTAATATATGGGAGGTTTGAGTCGTATGGAATACTGTCCAAGACATAATGGGGTGAAAAACACTGGACCAGAACTCCAGATACCTCTGTTGAGATCAAATCCAGAGTAATAAGGAAGAAATAGCGGATACCGGGCTGCTTGTTGAATCTACTGTAGGTTAATTCTGAAAGTGAGGATTTCTGCCTGCCTCTGATAGCCATCTGTCTAAGTGACACTACCACTGAGCAGCCCATGTCAGGTGCATCATCTAATAGAGAATCCAGCTGGTCATGTCTATCACCTCTAGACTTTGAGCATCCTCAAAGCTCACTTCCCATTTACCCACGAACCCTGGCATGGATGTAAAATCAGCAATGATGTGTTCTAGCCTGCACTATGCAGGACTGCAGAAGACTACACTATCCCAATGGTGCTTTCTAACCTCAGCATTCCCAGATCAGCTGTACTGCTGTATTAATTAGCCCCAAAGGTACTTCCCACTAAAGAACAGATGGGTGAAGTGCCTGGATATTAAACCTTTCAGGACACACCAGTCTGGGGTTTGTTTATCTAGCAACATCACTGCTGTCTTAGCAGGAGCCAGGAGGCTACATAACATAGAACAGACAGTCCTGTCTTACCTTACTTGCTGCTTTCTTGAACTTGACAAAACCTACTGCTCTGCTCTGGTCCCCTGCATCCAAACCTTTGAGGAACCTGATATAGCCAGAGTGTGGAAGGACAGCACCATCCCGGTTTTAAAGAGAACAGAACAGAGGTGAAATGATTCTTCTTACAGTGACACAGAAAGAGCTTGTAAAGAGAGGTGCATCAGCATAACCTGATCACCAGATGTGCTGGCTCACATACAGCCTGGGGACTACCAGAGTGTATTCCCAAATTTAAAATCAAAACCACGCCTTAGTTCAAAGTTAGAGCAAACAGCAAAGAATTCTTAGAAATGTAACAAAAATACCATAAGCATCCACAGCCAAAGTGCTAGAGGGCCAAGAATTGACAGGTAAAATTGAATTCGCAAGCAACCCATGCCCAGTAAGGCATGGAAATGCAGTGCTTGGGCACTCCAGCGTGCACTAGCACTACCTTCCTGCAGGTCAGTGTGAGCAGAGCTGCAGCTGTCCCCGCTTTAGGCAAGAGGAATAGTAGTGCTTCCCAGTCTTGTCACTTAAGGGATTTGCTTTGGCACACAATGCCCTAGCAATCTAATGCCAACAGAAAGCACAGAGCTCTAGCCTTAGTGGGACTCTTCCTTAGGAGATATCACTATGTCTTTAAGAAAAACCTGGCCAAAAGACTGTGGAAAGCAGGAGTGAAGCACCCTCTGAAGACCTGACCAAGGGGCAGGAGCCTGGAGCTGGAGCCTGCAACGGGGAAAGGCTGTGCACTCCAACAGATGGAGCCGGCGCCCAGGTATGAATATCCTGCAGAGGAGCAGGAGCACTGGAGACAGTCACCCAGCACTAGGCTACCAGCACCACCTGAGGGCATTCTGGCTCTGGAAGGAACCACAGCACAGGCTATGACACAGCATCACTGGTGCCTGTGATCTCCTCCCTTGTATGGCCTGAGCAAGACTGTGTCAGTAAGCGGAAAAAGAAAATTATGCGCTGACAGAAGAGTATGAGCCAGAGCGATGGCTGACACAGCCCATCACAGTGCCCTTCAAGGTCCCACAGCAGCACCTCTGCAGCACCAGCTAGGCTCCTTGCCACTTCACCCTGTTCCCATACCCTCACTCCACAGTTTGAGCTGGATCACCCTTTCTCTCCCCAGCTATTTGGCAGTATCTGCACAGGAAGCAGTCATGTCTGGGTGTTGGTCCCAAAGACGCCGGTCCCACCCTCATTGACCTTCCATACTGTGCATTTTCTGAGCTATACAGCACTGAGTCATTGGCCCAGCGGTCCTGATCCTGCAGCACCATTCAGCATGACCTATGCTACAGGCATCGCAGCACCTGGCAGATCCCTCCACCTCCTTCCCCCACGCTCTGCTTGCTGTTTCTCCAGTACTGATCTCTTCCTGCTCTGCAACACAATCATTCTGTGTCCACAGCCTTCTATCAAATGCTGCTGCTGTGCTTCCTTATAGATGTAGCCACAGGTCACCACATGTGCCACAGGTCACCATGTGTAGCAGTCCCTTCCCTTTCTGATCAAAGCACGTGTAACTTTACAAGGCAAGCGGGAGTTAAAGCGTTCGCACCACAGTGTCCAGAAAGGTCCCTCCCCTAAGGAGACACATAACATGTCCACACAGATGAGCCAGTTCACAGCAGCCCGACTTTAAAGAAAGTTGAAATGCAGGGGGAGGAGATTAAGAGTGATGCTTTGTCCTTGCAAAGATAGAATCCCCTGTTAGCTCAGGAATGGGATTTAGTCACGCTTGTAAGGAGAGAGAGTCTTCAGCTAAGGACAAGTTGAATTTCCTGACAATGCAAAACCAGAGGCCCTTCTCAATAGCCCTCTCCTCACTGTATTCCCAACTTACCTCTATCTCTCGCTCTAACTAGGAAGGCGATGACTTGAAGGATGGGGTGGAACTGCTCCTGGAGATGTTCCCAGCCTGTACCGTGAGCCAGGCAGAGAAGGCACTCGCCATGGCCTTGGGGAACTTGGAGGAGGCAGTGCAGTTAATTGTGGAGGAGAAAGTGGAAATTGGCCCAGCAGGTGTGAGTGTGAAGGTACTGTACTCTGAGCTGGGTGGCAGCGGGCCAAGGAGCAGAGCTCAGGGGACACAGGTGTTCCAGCTATCTGCTGCAAGTGGAAGCTTCGACTGCAAGAACTTTCCATGCAATGAGCCAGGAGGATCACCCAGAGCAACACCCCCTCTCCCTCCCTTGGCTCTGAGTACGGGCTGTGCCCACAGCTGAGCCAGCGCCCCAGTGGAGCTGTGGCTAGCACCCCACTTCCCACAGGGCCTGGAGTGCTGCACCAGCAGCTGGGCTCACCAAGCTAGCAGGGGGGTAGCCGTATGCCCCACGTGTTGTGCTACTCACACACCTGCCTTGTCTCCTCCCAGGAACTGGTACGGCCCCGCAGAGCACCCAACCACGAGGAACTAAAACAGGTTATCCTACAGAAGTAAGTACCCAGCAGCAAAGAACCCCTTACTCTGCTCCCAGCAAAGGAGGTGGCAGCAATTGGGGGAAGGTCAGAATGACAGAGCGGTCTATAAAGATCTTGGGGTGTACGATGCTTAGAAAGGATGCCATGAAGCTGATTTGGGTATAGCTGAACACATCTAAGCACAAATAGAATCATCAGGTGAGAAAAACAGGTTTGGGTTTCTTTTAGAGCTCTGGCACAGAAGCAAGTTAACTCAAGTTACCTGCACCAGCTGGGTCACAGTGCTGGCTGTGTGCAAGGTTTCAGCCTCCTACAGGTACGGTATAAATCACAGTACTGTCAGCTGAGGTCCTCATTAAAGGTTCAAGGCACAAACATTGTGCTGCAGCTCAGGTAACAAGTGGTGACTTGTAGAACTACAGCAACTCATTCATACCTCCACCCTTGGAGACAGTCCAAACAAGGCTAAAGACATCTTTAAGAGACTGCCTGTACAGCAACACTGGGAAGATTAAATCTCAGTTGCTGAAGGTGCCAATTCAATGCATTTAAAGAAACCTCTCTGAAGTGCCCCTATGGACTTCTTGGGAATGAAAGTGGCTTTAGATTGGTTTACCTTTATTCATTTCCAAAAGCATTTAATTCCCAATAGGAGAACCCACACTGTGGTTTCATCGATCTGCTTCAAGATCTCAGCTTTCATGAGTATCCTCCTGTGGGGATGCAGATTCCACATGTCTATCCAGCCAAGACTTTTCCAGCACTTTACATCCTCCCCAGTGACAGAATAAACAGCTGATGGGCTAGGGAAGATAAAGCAAGGCAGAATGGCGTCCAGGCAGAATTAGCAATCCCTGTCCTTGCCCTGGCTTGTTTCAGAGTAACATACACAGGAACAAAAAAGGACCAGCTGCTAGTTATGCTTCTGGGAACTTCACTTTAATGACATTTTGGCAACATCCTGTACTTTAAACATCACTTTAGCACAGGTACAGAGAGCAGATCACCATAGCTGAAGATACACAGGAGCAGCTATACTAACTACTGAGGGAGAAGTCATGGTCAGCTCTGCTGTCCACTTGCTAAACCAGCACCAAAGACTCAAGAGTAGTAACTCAGCAGTACAGCAAGCAAATGCTTGGGCCCTGATGTTTCAGTCACACAGGGAATGAGGTGATGCTTTTATGAAGTTGTTTCCAGCACAGACCTGTTTCGTAGTCAAGTAGCAGGTGGAATATGAAAGGAACACCATCTCTTCAGGGCAGAAGCAGCCAGCTTGGTCCTGTAATCTCACCTCTGAGTCCTTTGGCTGCCATCACTCAGGCTGAGGAGGAGCAGAGCTGCCCCAATCGCAGAGCACACCAGACCTTGGCACCTCTCAGTTCTGCAGGGGCTATCGGCATTCTCAACAGCCTGTTTTCAATACCCTTCACATATGGCCAAGGAGAATCCTGCTGGATTATCACCAGGAGGACAACACACTTCTTGTCCGTTATATCCAGAGGGGAATGTTAAGTGCTCCTAGCTGCAATCTAGGCAAGTAGGACACATTGCACAGCCACAAACCAGCCAGGGGAGAAAGGACAGAGGCCGTGAACAGCACCAGGCAGTGCATGTTAGTGTTCACTAAATGCTTCGTGTCTTTCAGATACATGATGGTGGATAGTGCAGAGGATCAGAAAACACATCGGCCAGCTCCACCCAAAGAGGTAAGAAGAGCAGTCCCAGCTCACCAGCAGTTTGAATGTCCTTTGGCTGCAAGGATTAAAAATCAGGCTGCAAGTCCAAAAAGCAAAGGGGCAGGCCAAAGGCAGGACTGCTCACAAAGCCTGCTAGTCAGCAAAGAGGGAAGGTTAGCTTAGCTAAGGTGCTGCAGGATCTATCAGTTCCTACCATTCGTGACAAACATGGCTCCTGCTCCCCCATCAGACAGCTTCCTTCCAGTTTTGGCCCAGATTCCCAACACAAAGGATGGGTAAAGCAGCCCACCCCAGTCTTCCTGCACCCACCCCGCAGAGCACAGCTCTGCTTCTGCTTGTCCCCTCCCTTTCCCTAGCAGTGTGGCTGTCCATCCACTTGCTGTTGATGTCTTTCCAGGCTCCCAAGAAGTTGATCCGCTATATTGATAACCAGGTGGTGAGTACAAAGGGAGAGAGGTACAAAGATATCAAGAAGCCTGAGAGCGAGGAGATGAAAAGAACCTACATCAGCCTCAAACCAGCCAGGAAGTACAAGTTCCACTGACAGCCAGGTCCTCCTGCTCTTCAGCCTCCACCTCACCGGCCAGGCATGGAGAGATGGACACCTGGCACTAGGGATGAGGGGACTCGGCCACCTGCCACTAACTGGAACTAACCTGGGAGCCAGGACACTGCTTTCAGCTTCCTCAACTAACCCAGTTGATGAGGAGGAGCCTTCTCTCCTTGTATAGCTGTCCCTCTGCCCCAGGGGCACACTGCAGTGGCTCTCTGGGGCATGGGCATTCTCTGCTATTCCTTGCATGGGACATTTTTTAGATCCAAGATGTGGCTTCTGCTTTTGCAGCAAGCTTTTTACAAGTCTGTGTGCACTGTTGCTTTAAATTGAGTGCCAGTGTTAATAAAGATGTGAATTGGTGTGTAGTTCAGCCAGAGCACGTACATACTTTACAGACACTGCCTCCAATCTCTGCTGGGGGCAAAGATAGGAGCAGGGTCATCCTCTTTTCCCCTAATTACTCTCTTCATCATATTCACCACAAGATGTGGCTGCTGTTTGGTTAACCAGTTAACTTGTAGATATAAGGGCTGAGGCTGAACTCCAGACCAGAGCTAGGCTCTCCCTGCCAACAAAACCTGCAGTGCTCCATAAATTCCAGCTGACAGCATGGCCAGGGCTCCTGCCATTTCCAACCACTGTTGGGTGTGAAAGCTCCAGCCACATGACACGGAGCAGGATACAGTAGCAGTCCCTGGCACTACCCAAACCTTAAGTCAGAATCTGGAAGAAACAAATGGCAAGGACCAACTGTTTTGAGTGACAATACCACTAGGTTTGGTGCTTTTCTGTCAGTGAAACTGCAGTTAGGAGCATGTTCCCCTTGAAAACAACTCCCACCTTGCACCAGCATAAACCAGCGCCGTAGGCCTGGACAGACACACTGCCTGTGCCATGGCCATGCCAGCCCTTTGGTACCAGGCTGGCCAGTGGCCGTGGGCTGGAGCTGGGCTCGCTCTGTCCTCCTCCCGGAGCCCAGAGGGGCCTGCCCTCTCCCAAGAGGAGGGATGGCAGCTTTTGTGCTCCAGCTAGCCTGGTCTGTTCCCAACAGGTCTGCTGGCATGGCATGCCCTGCACACGCACCCCAGGGGACAGTCCCCATCAAACACTCTCCTGCTCTCTGGACAGCTGCCACTTAGAGATTTAAAATACAACAAATAATAAATCCTATCTATTAGCTGGCCTTGCCAAGGCCTGTTCAGCACCATGGTGTTCCTGCAAGTCACTCGCTCTCTCCATGCCGCTGCAGAGGGAGTTACTTTCCCCAGAGACACCAACGAAGCCCACTCACAAACACCCAATGGCTGCTAAACAGCCCCCGAGG